CCTTTGTACGAGATATAAATCCACGCTGAGGCTCAGCAGGATATATATAAGGGCTTGTTGGCAGTGGGGAGTGTTCCTGAAGCCGCTTTCGAAGAAGCTCGTGTTAAAGCGCGTGAGGCCCGGCTTGCCTGCGGCTATGACCCTGCGACACCGGAGGCCAGTGGAGAAGATGAGGCCGAAGACGGGCTTACCTTTGATAATGAACATTCTGATGGAGAAGGTGGCGGTGGAGGTAAACCCGCTGAGCCAAGTGGGGGGAGAGATGACGGCGTGGATGAGGATAATGTTGAGTGAAGCTTTTGTACTTAATTTTTCCTCCTGTATTTAGTTTTTCTGTACTTAGTTAGTTGGGTGGGCCCCCCTTTTGGCCCTTTGTAAGATGATATTTTTCCTTTGAATGGAATAGTTGATTTGTTCTTGGTTGTACGTCTTTGGCCTTTCCTTCTCTTTTCTTTTCGAATTTCTAGGATCTTCTTGCAATAAGTCCCTGACTTTCGGTAGTTACTTCGAGCGGGTTTGAATGTAGCTTGATAATTCGAGCGAGGTCGAATTTAGACTTGGTAATTTGAGCGAGGTCGAATTTAGACTTGTTCATTCGAGCTAGGTCGAATTTGTTCGAGCGAGGTCGAATTTAGACTTGTTGATTCAAGCGAGGTCGAATTTGTCTTGCTAATTCGAGCGAGGTCAAATTTAGACTTATTGATTCGAGCGAGGTCGAATTTGTCTTGCTAATTCGATCGAGGTCGAATTTAGACTTGTTGATTCAAGCGAGGTCGAATTTGTCTTGCTAATTCGATCGAGGTCGAATTTAGACTTGTGTAAACTTGGTGGAGTTGCGTAAGAATTCCGTATGTTGCTTTGCTTACTCATTTATTGGAGAATACTATGTTGTTGTGCGGTCCGTACATACGCTCGAGGAGTCCCAAGTCTATCTAGTCCATCGCTTGGCTTGGAGAGGTATTTGATAGGCCGGACGATGAATGTCTCGCTCAAGCTTCGGGATGTCTCAATGTATGTACGAGATTGAATTTTGGCTAGTTGTGTCGTCGCACAGTGACTTTGGCGAGTACGTGGGTGAGTTTCATGCACTTGTGTTCTGTCTGCATGTTGGAGAGATTCATATGTTTTCCGGGCTGGTGACCCAGTCCCAATCTATACAGACTTTTCCTTTATGGCGTTGAGTACGACCTTATTAGGGGGGTTTCGCTCAACCGTTGCATGCAGAATGATATGGCGCAGAGCGTTTTCTTGGTGTGCTATTTTGATGGCGTTTGTTCCCTCGACTGATTGATTAACGAGTGGAAGGGAGCGACCATGTTCCCTTCTTTGGCTATGTTTCGTAGCTGCTCGCATTGGTTGAGCTAATATTCACCGAACTCGAATGGCATCTTGTGGGTCTTTGGCTTAGTGTTTTTGCCGTCTCCGCTACTTGTGTCTGGATAGTCCTTTCGATCTGATTGGCAACGAACTGAGAGTGCTAGCTTCAGATCCAATCTCAGCCTCGTACTTAGCTTCCGCGTTAGTCGAATCTGGGCACCTTGTGGGCTGATGCCTTACTTCGCCCGTTGGGATTTTCAAGTTCAAGTCCCAATCCGATCCAGTCCCGAGTGCGTGAAGATACGGAAACATAGGCCGCACCACAAGCACACAGGCAAAAGGATGAAGTTACAACGAACGGGAAGTAGAACTAGGACTGAGTTTAGATCTAGGGGAAACTAAAACTTTGGCTAGAAAATCCCCACAAATGGCGCCAAATTTTTTGACCAAAAAGTTTCAAGCCTTTTTATCAAATTAATTAAATAAGAAGATATGGGGTAAATCCTAGCCAGAGGTAATTTATTCTAGATATGAGATAGGAGACAAAAATAAACAAGCATAGCTGAACGTAGAATTTGATTACAGTTGCGAAGGAAGATGGCTTCAATAATATCAAATGATGACGAAGAATACATAATGAAAAAGAATCACCATTCTTGAACAAGATTAAACTTCATACATATGATAAAGTTGAACTCCAAAATAAAATGTGAGGAACCTGAGAATTATCCCTTTTTTTGGCGAAGAGCCTGGGAGGATGGAACCTCTTCTCTTTCAAATGGATGTATGTGTATATATGTGTTCCCCTTAGCCCCCTTTTTTGTTATTTCCTCTCATGATATTTATACAAAACACTTTGTCACACCTCTTTTTTCCTACACCCGAAGGTATATACGGGAGTTTTTCCAATTAAAGTGACATTATTCGAAATGAGATTCGTTTATTTAAAGATTCAGAGTCGCCACTTGGGATAATTTATGGTGTCCCAAGTCACCTGTTCGAATCCCAAATCGAGGAAAAGATTGACTCTGTATTGTAGCCTGTGAACCAGAAATCCGGGTAAGGAATTCTGTTAACCCGGGAGAAGGTGTTAGGCACTCCCGAATTCCGTGGTTCTAGCACGACCGCTTAACCATTTATACTTGGCTTAAATTATTTAATTATGTGTTTAGAAACTACATGCATTTTTACCTTTACCGCTTTTAATTACGTGATTTACTCGTACTTAAAGAATTATC